ATGATTAGCAGAATCCTTTGGTGGAGCAATTAATTAATGAGGTTCCTAGATGCCCACAATGGACAGTCTGATGTGGGAGGTCACGGGAGTGTTCAAGAATGCTTTTTTAATTTGTCAGGTGATTCTGCTGTGCAGACAGTTTTGATAATCAGGGCTATATAAGTCTCATGCTAATTTATATAAGGTGAGATTTGAAGAGGTTTGAAGACTCACCTCATTGTTTAAATTGAAAGACCTTTATAATCCTATCTGAGATTTAGCTCTTTAATACTAAACATAGGTTATTATGGTAATTATATCAGATCATTATGAAAGTGCTGGAATCAGCTAGGGAGTCTAAATATTGTTTCAAATTCTGCACTTCACTGTTCACTGCATTCTCACTGTCAACTGACTCCTACTGAAACATTCTTTCTCTCTTACTCCCCATTTCTTTCTGCTACTTGAACCTTAAAAATAATCTAGTTTTTAAAATATTTGCATAGTGTTAGTTATCGACACTGTTTAAAACTCTTAGAAGATCCATTAGGTTCATTAAAATATTAATAAAAAAGCAAATCCTATCCAAATGCCTGCAATCTGAAAAATTGGTAGGTAAGAGAATTCTTAGGACCATACCTGGTAGCTGATTCACTTCAAAGTACCAAGACCATCAGAAAATATTACCTAAAATTTAGTTTTAGACTTTTAAAGTACATTTTAATTCTTTTTTAATGTCTTTGTGAGGAATGTAAGCCCTCATCTTCCATTTTACTAGACTAGCAGTACATCTCAGTGTCAGAGGCCACTGAGCACAGTAAATCTGGAAGACATCCGTGGTACTTCTTGGAGCTTGGCACTGAGACAGGAAATAATACATGTGAGATGCACGAAGCAGTTGAGGAGTCTTGGAGACTAAGCTGCTCACTTCACGCACTGGCATCTAATCTAGCCCAGTCTCTACAGAGATCAGCTCTGTGTTCTCCTGATATTTTCTCATCTCCTTTATTTGGAAGCAGAACATAGACAAAAGTAAGAAGGATATTTTCCAATCACTTGCTTTCTAACAGAAAATGTGGCTTAAAAATAAATGAATTTTTGGGTGACTATTCCTTCAGGAGCCAAGCATGTTTTGTTAAGGTATGTTTCAATTCCCCTCAGGGCTCCTGAGTTTATTTTCCTTGTAAAAGAATGAAGGAAAGTAAGTGTTATACCAAGAAATTGTTTCATAGTCCTTCCTTCTCAAGTGCTATGGCCAAGTGCATTTCCTGCCATCTGTTTCATTCCATTCCTGGTGCTTATTAGGAAGCTGGCAGCCATGGGCAGATGGAGAAAATTGGCAGGCCTTGTTGATTTGCCCGATTTATTAGATTTGCCAAGCAAGTCTCTCGTGGTAAAGATAGAAAGACTATTGAAATGCTTAGTTGAGGAAAAGTCTTTCATAGTACAAGAAGGAGAGCTTAAGCTGAGAAGAATACTAACTAACTGCCCCCGCCCCAACCAACATGGTCTCCAGCCTTGACTAGTAACTCATTGTTGCTACAATGACACACATTCAGTGGCAATGGCTGATGATAATCCAGTCTGGATCAGGCTTCCTGCCTCCCTGTCTCCACACCTTGACTTAGAAAAATGGGTGTGAATCCTCCATCTACTCTTTGCTCAGAGAACTCTAGGTTCCCATTTGTAGCGTCCACTCAGATGCAGTCTTTCAAGTGTCAAAGAGCTAAATCTTTCCCTTCAAACTGTTCGTGGCTGCTGGTCGTTATCCGTGGGGAACTTTTGCCGACTGTCTCTGACTTCCCTACATGTGGAGGCCATGGAGTCAGGCTTTCTGCACGGAGGAACTAAACTGTTCCACTGACACCTGAACACTGAGAAAGGGAAGAGGAGGGTGCTTCCGACCAAAATGCTCCTGAGGAAAGTGTGAGCCGCAAAGGGCGTGGGGCCACCACTGGAGAGAGAGCAGGCCTCACAAAGGCCCCCTCTGCCCCACAAAGACAGCTGGAAAATCCAGAGTCAGGAAAGACACTACCTTCAAACCACAAATAGTGTCATAGCAGCAGCAACGAGATTAAGGATCTATCATGTAAACATCTGAGTTTCTAAGGTTTAGATTTGCTGGTTGAAAATTTGTCCAGAAATAGAATTTGTTGGACTAGCTTAACAACAACCTCACTGTCTGTGGAAGAAGGATCATAATAATTTTATTTTTATACCCAAACATTTGGAAAACAACTGCCTTTCTGGAGTCCCCTAGATGAGACATTGACATTATTGTACAGTTTTCAAACCCAAAAAGTCTCAGTGGAAGTCTCTTTTCTAGACCAATTGCCCTGGGTCTCTTATCCTTCAGGTGCTAGAAATCTGTCTGGCAGCAAGGAAAACAAGCAACCTTGACATTTTCACTTCAAATGTCCATGGAAGCCATCAGACTTCCTGCTGGTTAGATGGCCTCCCCTCGATGCCCACCTGCCATATGCTCTGAGTCAGCTTCTCTCCACGTTCCCTGGGTTCCCAATCATTTCAAACTCAAAGAGTTCCAGGACCAAACCCATCATTTCTCACATCTCCCCCTTCATCAGTCATTGTCAGAAATACAAGACTCTCAGACGAGTCATCATTACATAGGCTCATTTTTCATTTCCATGTGTAAATCTTTTGTTCTACTCAAACTCCCAGAGCTTCCTCCCCAAATCTTCCACTTAGCTCTCCTGGTCTGTTAAAAACAAATTCTGCTCCTCTAAACATTCCTGTCAGTTTGCTGTTCCAACTGAAACTTAGCTGTCCCCTGAGGATACTTCTTCCCCTCAAGTCCCCACAAATAAAAGGTTTTTACCTTTCTGCACCCTCATGCTTCAGAACCTGCTTGTGGAGTTGGTAGGATCCCTGCTTTTATTTATTGCATCCAGTTTCTTCTCTTCTTCTTTCAAAAACATAAGCTCCTTTGAAGTGCTTGTCAGCAGACTTCACCATTTCCTCTCCTTGTCAGTGTGTCCTACCACCTCCCAGCCACTGTCTTCCCTTCCCTGAGACTTGGTGATCTCAGGCAGCCAGATATATGACTCCTCTAATACTCTGACCCTTCAGGGCCTTGAATTCCTTTTCCCCAATGAACTTTACTTCCACCTCACCTCTCAGAAGGTCATCATCCAGATCTGGTCATCACCAATGACTGTATTGCCTCTGAAATCTTGATTTCAAATATCAAGAGAGTCTTGGACTCCCACTGTTTCTTTCAGAGCATTTATTCCAGCAATCTTCATTGAGATTTGAAATCTGTTGATTCTTTTCACTATCCATTATCACCTCTTCTTTCCTCCCTTCCACATTTTAGAAAGGCTTCTTAGATCCCATGTCTAGCTCCTGCTATCTTGCAATTTATTGTTCCAAATTTTGCAAAATAACTGTATGAAGTTTCTCTTTTTACTTTATCTCCTTCTGATATCACTTCTAGCCACTACAACTGGACCTTTGTCCTCATCATTCTACTCAAAGTAACTTTAACAAAGTCATTAATATGTGACAAAGCCAATGGTCAATTCTTTGTCCTCATCTTAGTTGCTCTTGGTGATATTAATTACAGACATTCCTTTGAAAGCACTTTGTTCTGCTGGAATCCATGATGCTATACCCTCCTGGTTTTCCTTATAATTTATTGGTTACTCTTCTCAAATCATATGCTGACTAATCCTCCTCTACTGTTAAATACTGGCTTGCCCAGAACTGTGTCTTCACCCTTCTTCTTCATGTTACTAATCTTTCTAAGTAGTCTCAACCAGTCACATTTGACTTAATACCAACCATACACTGATAACTCTCAAATGGATGGCGTAGCCTGGCTTCTCTCATGAATCTCAAATTCAGTTATAACTTGCTTATTTGAAATTCTTCTCTGATGTCACAAAATCAACATGGTCCAAACAAAAGTATTCATTTTCCATCAAACTTTTCTCTATCCCCAAATTCTCCATCTCAATAAACAATACTATTATTCATTCAAAAAGTTAGAAATCATTCTTGATTTTTCTCTTTTCTCCACACCTTATAATTCACCCATCAGTATATCCTAACTGTTCTACTTTCAAAATATATACCCTCATATGGCCGTTTCACCATCCTTACTACTATAACTTCAGTTCAAGCCCCATCCTCGTAACACTGTTGCCATGGACTCTCTTAACCAGCCTCCTTGCCTTTGCTCACCTACCTCTTCACCTCCAAAGTCATCCCCCACATTGCAGACTTTCCTTCTAATGTGTAAATTATGTTACTCAGCATTTAATACCCTCTAACAGTGTTCCATAAAACTCAGGAAAAAATTCATTTTGTACCATGGTACTAACCCCATCTCCTTCCATTTCCCCAGAATGCATTATGTTTAGCAACAATGATCTAAAAAGCTACCTCTTAAACATGCTAATTCCCCTCTCATTTTAGGGCCTCTGATGCTTACCTTTCCTTGTATAATTATTCTCTCAATGATCTTCATATGGTTTCCACCTTGCTCATAGTTCAAGCCTCTATTCAAATGTTATATGTTCAGAAATGTCTTCTCTGACCATTCTAGCTAAACGAGACATCTGCCTTCCAGTAATTCCGTATCACATTACCATTATCTTATTCATAGCCCTTACTATTACTTTCAACAGTATTTTTACTATTATTTACATCTTTGTTAGTTGTCAATCAGCCCCTTGCACTATGATATAGCCCCATAAGATTCAATCCTATTAATTGATTTTTTTCTCAGGAAATGCAAGTCATGTCTACAAAAAACAAGTAATAATAATAACAACAACAATAATAACTAACATTGATATAGTGGTCTGGCCTTGGGGTCCAAGCTCTTAGCCACTACACTGTGTCTTTCTGATTTTTAAGCTGCCTGACTACCTCACTCTTGAAGTGAGGGTCTTGAAATGCATGCTTGTCCATATGTAGTGCAACCAGTGTAGACATGCTTTAATGTCTGGCTTCCCAGAAGACAGCTGGATTCTCATGTCTGCTTCTGCCTTCAGTCTGCTGTGGTGTCTTACTTCACGCAGCCTCAAGAGAACTTCACGGAACACTTCATGGAGAATAAGAGTGAACAAAGAAAAGGATTTCTTAGGATCATTACAGAGTTTTGACCCAGAAGACCACATTTTGAGAACTTTGCTGAGTGGAACTTGCACGTGGAACTTCTGTTCCCTAATCACCCAGGTTGTTCTCACTAAGGTAAATAATTAATTTGCACCTTTTCTCTATATTTATGTTTATCACATTAATTTTATTTATTTTTTCCAGCTTAATTGTTCCTGTTTGCCTAGGTCATTTAAAAATAATTGTTAGGGGCTGGCCCCACGGCATAGTGGTTAAGTTTGGCATGCTCTGCTTTGGTGGCCCAGGTTTGCAGGTTCAGATTCTGGATGCTGACCTGCACCACCCATCAGGCATGCTGCGGTGGTGACCACATATGAAGTAGAGGAAGATTGGCACAGATGTTATCTCAGAGAGAAACTTCCTCAGCAAAAAATAAATAAATAACTGTTAATTGCTATTAAATTTAATGCACTTAAAAGACATTGGGTTAATACATGAAGTTGCCAAAAAAGGTTAACTAGTCATCATTTGGAATTCACTCTTTCATCCATTCAACAAATGCTGATGAAATTTGTATCAGGTGCTTGTCTCTGTTTTAGGTCTTTAGCTCCATAACTGAACAAAAATAGAGAAAAGCCCGTGCCCTTGTGGGGCTCACATGCTGAGAAGGAGACAGATGATAAAGAAGAAACATACAGCATGTGCAAAGGTGGCAAGTGCTGTGGAAAAAGATGAATTGGAGCCTGGTAAGGGAGACACAGCAGGCATTCTTGTGGGAAGGTGAAATTTAAATCTAGGTGGTAAGAGTTGGTCATATACAGAAGGTGACAACTGAGCAAAGGCTTGAAGAAGGTGCGGGAGTTAACTGTGAAGAGAACTGGAGAGGAACTTGGCATGAAGAGCGAGCGTCAGCACAGAGCCCTGGGCAGTGTCCAGACATGGTGTGTGTGAAGCAGAAGAGGGCCAGTGTACTTGTGTGGGGAGCCAGGGGAGTGTCATAAATGAAGTCAGAGACGCCAGGGGGAGTGTTACACATGAAGTCAGAGATGCCAGGGTGTATGCACACAAATTCAGAGACACCAGAGTCAGTGTTACACAGGAAGTCAGAGACGCCACGGGATGTGTTAGGCATAAAGCCAGAGACAGCAGGTGGAGAGTTATTCACAAAGTCAAAGAGGATAGGTGGAGTGTTACACACGAAGTCAGAGATGGCACGGGAATGTTACACACCAAGTCAGAGATGACAGGGGAAGTGTTACACACCGTCAGAGATGGCAGGTGGTGTCTTACACACAAAGCCAGAGACACCTAGGGGTCACATTACACATGAAGTCATCTACACCCCGGGGAGTGTTACACATGAAGTCAGAGACACTGGGGTGGTGTCTTACACATGAAGTCAGAGACTCCAGGGTCGTGTTACACACGAAGTCAGAGATGCCAGGCATCAGTCATGTGCATCACACACACTGTTAGTTTTTATTCTGTGTAATGACAAGTCAGTTCTAGTCTGGATTATGAACTTGAGCTTCATAAACTAGCAGAAAATGAATAATTATATGTGTTTTAATCCCTTGAATATACAATTGAGAAATTACACCAGGAAATTCCCAAGATTTTCATGGACTCTATAATCCTGTGATAGTAAGCATTTTAACCACAAATTAAAAAATCTGTTAGTGAGCCTGTACTTCTGTACTGTGAACAATGAATAAAGGCTAAAATTATTAGTCACAAAATTGAAATTTTGATGAAGATATATTTCAGTGAGGATATATTTTAAAATGTGCAAATCAGAGACACACACTGAGCAACAGATGACACAGGGATTCGAACAGTTGAAAAGAAAAACATAGTCTCTAATGAGGTACACAACGAGCAAGTAATTGAGATGAAAGTCGGAATGTTACGATGAAGCTGTCAAGACATATACAGTATTTATTTATTTTTACCATAGGTAGAGTATTATGTCAATATTATATCTTAAAATATTATACTATCGTATCTTAAAAGAAACTGAGCACCCTGTTCTGCATGTAAGGAGCTTGAAAGTTGCCACTCCATTCTAACAAGTATAAAAAGCTGAACAGACTGAAAAATCAGCTCTTGCTGGATCCACAAGAGAGGGCAGGACACAGGACATGCTGCTGCCCCAAGACTGGACAGACAGACAGGCAAATCCAGAGAGTCCTGGCTCACCAAGCAGATACATGGTGGAAACCGCTGCTGACACCTGTGCCAGGATGGAGACCTAAATCGTACCTGACCAAGTGCTAAAGGCTCATTGTGGAAAACTCTGAGAGTTAAAAACTCCAGGGGGACATAGTCATAGTCAGGGCCCTCGAATATTGGGAGATTTACCCCCAGGAATATAACCAGATTCCCAGAGTAAACATAGGAGGAAATGCCCTTGGGCTTCCTGCTGGGGGATGGAAGGAACCATTCTGAATACATCAGAGCACTCTGTTCTTCTTAACAAGGCTGCCCTCAGGGGAGGCTGGTTACCCACAGCCTAATCTGCTGGAGTATTCTGAGAGTCTAACTGACCTGAGGAAGAGAAATACCCAATTCTAGCTCACTCTAGTCATCCTGTACCACCTAAGGGTGAGAGAAAAAACCTGAGTTCACAGTCCAGAGTCACAGGCTCACTAATAGATTGAGACTCAATCCTAGGACTGTAAAACATGTCCCTCTCTTCACATCTCAGCACCAAAGACTAAAGCCTATCTAGGGAAGTTCCTTTTACCCAGTACATCATGTCCAACTATCAAGAAAAGGCACACCAAAGGAAAAACACTATTTAAAGAGACAGAGCAAGCATCAGAACTAGACATGGCAGGGATGTTTGAATTATCAGATGGAATTTAAAACAACTCTGATTAATATGCCAAGGGTTCTAATGGAGAAAGTAGACAGCATGCAAGAACATGTGGGCCATGTAAGCAGAGAGATAGAAATCCTAAGAAACAACCAAAATGAAATACTAGAGATCAAAACACTGTGATGGAAATGAAGAATGCCTGTGACGGGCTTATTAGTAGACTGGACATGGCTGAGGAAGGAATCTCTGAGCTAGAGAATAAATACATAGAACTTTTGAAAACTAAAAAGCAAAGAGGACAAAGACTGAAAAAAAAAAAAAAAACAGAACACAATATCTAAGAACTGTAGGGCAACTGCAAAGGGTGACACTTGCATAACGGGAATACCAGAAAAGATATTTGAAACACTAATGAACTGAACATTTTGCCAAATTAATGTCAGATACTGAACCACAGATCCAGGAAATTCAGAGAATACCAAGAAGGATAAATGCCAAAAAACTACAGCTAGGCATATCATGTTCAAACTACAGAAAATCAAAGAAAAAAGAAAATCCTGAAAAAAGCCAGAGGAAAAACACCTTACCTTTAGAGGAACTAAGATGAGAATTATAACCAGCTTCTCTTCAGAAACCATGCAAACAAGAGAGTAGAGTGAAATATTTAAAGTGTTGAGGAAAAAAATCACCAACCTAGAATTCTATACCCTGTGAAATTATCCTTTAAAAGTGAAAAAGAAATAAAGATTTTCTCAGACAAACAAAAATTGAGGAAATTTTTGCCAGTAGATGTACCTTATGGGAAATGTTTTTAAAAAGTAATTTACAGAGAAGGAAAATAATATAGGTCGGAAACTCTGATCTGCATAAAGAAAGGAAGAACATTGAGAAAGGAATAAGTGAAGGTAAAATGAAAAGTTAATTTTTGTTATTCTTAATTGACCCAAAGGATAACAATTTGTTCAAAATAATAATAGCAATAATGTATTGCTTGTATGTGCTTATGTAAATATGATATATATGTTTATACATAAGTAAAATGAGTGACAGTATAATATAAGGGACAGAAGGGGCGAGTTAGGGTTATTTTGTTATAAAAATGCTCACACTACTGGTGAAGTGGTCTAGTGTTATTTGTAAGCAGACTTGGATTAGTAGTAAACATTTATTGCAGGCTCTATGGCAACCACTAAAAAACTCAAAAAAGAAGTATAAAAGAAACTAAGATGTCAGGAATACTGGAGATACTTTTTAAACTGTATTTAAATGTATGTTTTTCTAGTAAGCCTTGACTGGCTTGCAGAATAATGGACTGCTGGTAAACTGTCAGCTTTTCATGAGGGAATTCACACAAGCCTCTTGGGTCAGAGATAAGGATCTACAAATTGGAGGATCTGCCAGTGGATTTATAGTTTCTGATCAGAATAATAGTGCACTTGTGCTTTTCGACCCTTTAGCCTGAGACCTCAGCTTGAGGAAGCACATATGATTACCTTGGATTCAGAAAGGGCTTGGAGAGGTCCCTTTTGAAAGAACTAGCTTAACACCTGTCATTTTTCTGTTAGACTTTTCTAGTTATCATTTAAGGCTCAAGGGATAAAGGATATTATGTATTATCTTTTCCTATCCCAGTCCAGGTTCTAAGAATCCTAAAGAATCAATACGACCTCAAAAGAAAGGGAAAGTAGTCTAGTGTCTGTGTATAGGCACACAATGAGAGTGATGTACTCCAGCACACAGACCCTCAATCCAGTGTCTTGGAGCGGACAGCTCGCAGCCTCACACTCAGGGCTGAAGTCAAGGCAAAATCCACTGGGCTGTCAACCAAATTTCCAGAACCAGTTCCTGGGCTCCTTTGACTTTTACTAGCACTCTTCTGTCTCCATATGCTTCTAGAAGTTTCCCTCGACTGCATGATTTTAGCTCTGATCAGTGTTCCTATTTGGAACAAACACCTCCTCTGCCTGGTTAAAGCTACTGATAGGTTCTCACCACCTTTATAACCATGATATAACTAAAGAGGAGTTTAATTCAATATGGTTTTATATTGAGTGTCTCCTATGTGCTGAGTGTCACTTATGGTATTCCAGGATATTCTAAATATCATAAAGTAATTCATAGAGGAGCCGAAATTCTAGAGTTGTGCTAATGCATTAGTCACTCCTTACTTGTGGCTATTGACACTTGAAACGTGGTTAGTCCAAACTGAGATGTGCTCTAACTATGAAATGTATGCTGGATTTCAAAGACTAGTATGAAGAAAGAATATAAAATATTTCATTAATATTTTATATTGATTGTCTGCTGACATGATAATATTTTGAATAAAATAAAAATATAATTAAAATTAATGTCTCCAAAAAGGAACACTCACACACTGCTGGTGGGAATGAAGACTGGTGCAGCCATCATGGAAAACAGTATGGAGATTTCTCAAAGACTTAAAAATCGAAAGACAATACCACCCAGCTATTCCACAACTGGTATTTGTCCAAAGAACCTGAAATCAACAATTCAAAGAGACTTATGCACCTCCATGTTCATTGCAGCATTATGCACAATAGCCAAGACACGGAAGCAACCTAAGTGCCCATCGACTGATGAATGGATAAAGAAGAGGGGCATATATATACAATGGAATACTATTCAGCCATAAAAAAGACAAAATAGCCCCATATGCAACAACATGGATGGACCTGGAGGGTATTATCTTAAGTGAAATAAGCCAGACAAAGACAAACACTATGATTTCATTCATAAGTGGAAGATAAACAACACATGGACAAAGAGATCGGATTAATGGTTACAAGAAGGGAACAAGGCTAGCGGGTAGGCACAGGGGATGAAGAGGCAAACATACGGTGACGGAAAAACAACAATGTACAACTGAAATTTCACAATGTTATAAACTCTTATGACCTCAATAAAAAAAAAATGAAACAAAACCAGATAAGATCTCCAACCCACAGCGGGATCCAGATATTGGAATTAGGAGCCACGGCCTGTAAAATAAGTTTGATTAATATATTTGAGAAATCAGGTAACAAGAAAGAGAATTTCACCTGAGGAATGGAAACTATAAAAAAGTCTAATGGAAAGTCTAGGATCAAAAAATGTCATAACTGAAATTAAGAATGCTGAAGAATGTATTCATTCAGCTCCTTGATAAATACCCAATGCCTGTCTACATGCTCCAAGAGAAATATAGCAGAATTTTAGACTATTCAACATAGTCGAAAATTGATGAAAAAATTGTGGTATAGTCATACAATGGCATACTATACAGTACTGAAAATCAAAGCCACATAGATGAATCTCGCAAACAGAATGTTTTGTGAAAGAATGTATATATGAAAGAATATGTACATATGAAAGAAATATATTATTGCACTTATGTAAATTTCAAAAAAAATAGGTAAAATTAATCTGTGGTGTTAGAATTCAGGATAGAGAGACCTCTCAGGGCAGGGGAGAGGATCCTGATTGGGAGAGGACATAATCATGACTTCTGAGATGCTTATAATGTTTTATTTCTTGATCTGGGTGGCATTTAGAGAAATGTGTTCACTGAGTGGTAATTCCTCAAGCTGTACACTCAGGATTTGTGAAAATTTCTATCACATATAAAAAGTTTATAATATATTTATAATATAGTGAAATATAATAAACTTCAACAACATGTTTACTGAAGCAAAAAAATATATATCCACACTTCTTTTTACCTTTTAAATACGGCTACTAAAAAAATTTAAATGACAAATGTGACTCAAATTATATTTTTACTGGATGACACTGCTCTAAAAAATAAGATTACCATAAATCATTAAGTAGGATCACAACCTAGATTATGTAAAATGCTATAACTGAGATTCTTTTTTAATACAATGGAAGACTAGGAAGAACTCCAAGAAAGCATCATGGAAAAGATGAGATATTCTCTGTGCTCTAACCTGTGGGTAAATGCAAATATTACACAACTATAAATACTCCTTAAAGGCAAATAATAAATCTCAATTAATCTTTCCTTCATACAGCAGCTGCTGTCCTGCACTAAACCTTCCTCCCTCCCATCCATCATAAAATTCCCCTTATGGTTTAGGAAATCATTGCTGATGAAACGCAGTGCCATTGTTTCAAGGGATCATGTGCCTTATGGCTTTTTAAAAACAATTTTAACGATATTGTCACTAAAGCCAACTACACAGTTTTATCATCAGTTTGTATTTAATTATGTAACTGAGTTATCCTGGATCCTCAGTATCAAGGGAATATGAGCATTCTCTCACTAAACTAAACAGAAGCTCCTTAAGTTAAGAACCTAAAAACAGAGTCTCAGTTGCTGTTTATAGTGACGAACAGTTGCACTTCCTTCCTCAGAAGACCTCTGGGCTCTGAAACTAGTCATAATGTGCAGCTGAGACCATTCACAATTAAGTCCTACTCTACCGCACCGTCTTTACTATAGTAATTCTAGTCAACTGACCATTTGGGCCAGGTCATGTTAGCAATCTTGATAACCACTTTAATAAATATACCATGAACCCTGCAATCCAGAATTGCTAGGCCTTGTTCTCATTTTCTAAAACACATATTTTGATCCTCAGAAACTGAACAATTTGCAGAAAATCACTACCTTGTAACTGTGAAGAAACTCCAGAAAGTCAAGATCCATGTTTCTTTTTAACTCCCTGCCCTTTGCACCCCTGAAGCCAGTTGAAGACAATCCCTGGAAAATTTGTACCCATGAAAGTCAAAAACACTTATAAACCCATGACACCCAAAACAATGTCTAATCCCAGAAGAATAGGAAGGCCCTGCCTTTAAACCAGATGTTTGACACAAGCATACTGATGTAGCAACCTTTTCCAAGACATGGTTCCTAACGTAAAACGCCCACAGGCTTCCATGATAGTCTTCTTTTGTGTTCAGGAGTTCTGCCAATATGCACCTCCTGACTAATTAATCTCTAGCCAGAGGTAGTAATCCACAGCTCCTTTTTATTTGAGCTCATTATGGAATTTGAGGTGACATATAGTTTTAGCCTCTCATCATACCAGCCAAACAAAAAAGAGAAATATTCACAGTAATCTCCTGTAGTCCACTTGTTTCTTCTCAGACTCTAGTTTCAAAGTGTCATTCTGCTTCTTCCTTTGCTCTCTAATTTCTGGTTGATAAATCTCACTAGCTCTACTACATGTGGACTTATCTTCACCCCCAACCTCCACCCCATCCTCTCTATCTTGGGACCTGATAGCTCGTCACCATGATTATTGATTCCAAAGAGACTGCGCTGTCTGTGACCCTCAAGATAAGCCAGCAGCTTGGAATGCAACAATCTCCAGGTATATGGGTACATTATTTATGGGTGCAAAATATTGGTCAAGTAACATGACACGGAAAGTCTCAGTGGTGCCAATGCTGTAGAGAAGATGGCTCTGAGGATGGAACCAGACCGTGTAGCAGTGTCTAATCAGGCAGCAGAATAAAAATGAGAGGTGGAGGCAACAATTTCTGAGAGTCTTGCTTTGTTCCAGAGGCTGCCCATGCAAAAATCTTCATTTTATACATTTGGAAATGAAATCTCAGAAAGACAAAATATGTGTCACACAGCAAGTAAGTGAGAATAGGCTTCAAACATTGGTCCCCCTAACTCTTAACCACAGGCCCTTTTCTTTCCCTTTATCACCTGTAAGTACACTCAAGCACATATTCATGTTTGGAAACTGTGTTCAGAATCAGTTTTAGGGATAAACAAAAAAGCATTGGCAGGCTAGCCCCGTGACCAAGTGGTTAAGTTCACATGCTCCGCTTCAGTGGCCCAGGGTTTCGCCAGTTCGAATCTTAGGCACAGACATGGCACCATTCATCAGGCCATGCTGGGTTGGCATCCCACATGGCACAACCACAAGGACCTACAACTAGAATATAAAACTACGTACTTGGAGGCTTTGGGGAGAAGAAGAATTAAAAAAAAAAAAAGAAGATTGGCAACAGATGTTAGCTTAGATGCCAATCTTAAAAAAAAAAATACAAAATCCAGCATTGGTAAAAAAGAACCCAGGCCCAGGACTCCCCTTGGACTTTGTATCCTCCGGCGACAAGCTGAGTTCAGGAGGTGATTTTCCTCATTTCACAACAGCCCTTGGAAGTGCAGAGTGATGACATCATGGATATCTTCCATCCTGGTGCTCTGGTTTGAATTTGCTTCCATTTGAGGCCAATATTAGGTCAAATTTCCAATCTTCAGACTTTCCATTTTTAGCAATAAAGACCAAGTTTTACAATGTCTGTTTTGTTCAAGCTCTTCCCTGAGGTGATCCAATACCTAGTACATCTGGAGAACTAAAATTGCTTAATCCCACTGATTAAATAAAAGCAAAGAAAATTCTCGTAATTTTTAGGCAGAACCTATTAATTTATTGGCTTGGGCTCCTTAGATTTGTTCAAATAAACTATTTGTTTGGACTTGGTACATGTCTAAATTGGAGTATAAGTAAAATTACCTCCATGCTATAAATGTCGGAAATATGAAGCTGATGGGTTTTTGGCTACTTTCCAAAACAACATAGTAGTGTGGATAGTACTAGTGGTGTGGATAAATGTAATTTATAAGTTTTAAGCCCTTGTGACCTCTATGTAAACTATATTTTTGGCAACAGAACATCTAAAGTCATCACGTTGTAATAGTGTGATACAAGCTATGCACATACATTTCTATCAGATGATTTTTCTGTCTCATTAGAATTCTTGCTTATTAATGAGGTTTAGAGTAAAGAGAAGCTGAATTGTAGAAACAGAAGCATAAGCATATAAAATTTAGGGAAAATGCCTCTACCATTTCTCTAACTTTACTTTAATTTTCTTATTTCGCAGATGAGAACATTAAAGCTCCCGGTATCTGACTGACATCCTGTCAGAACCCAGGGCCCTGGAACCTTGTCCCCAGCTGATTACCCTCCATCTCAAGTCCCATGAATTCAGAGAAAAGAGTAGTCTCTTTGAAGACAGGCACCAGGTTTTCTATAAGACTTGGCTCATACCTACCATAGAGTAAGCATTCAGTGCATGTTCCCCAAAATGAGTTGAATTCATGATGAAATCCATGTCAGTGAATATTCTTATAAACACGTAGGACATTTATATAGTGAATAGTCCCTTTTCATAATCAGTCTTTCAGTTATATTAATATTGATTTCTCACATTAAATTCTATTAAAAACTCTTTGTAGATGAAGATTTTAACATTAAAAAATAAAATATTATATATAACATAGTGTTTACTCTTAAGAAAATGATTGTATATAACATTGAATAAAAGCAAGCAGATACTACCCTGTCAGTGCAAAATTCAATATCATGCGATGGCCTTAAAATTATATTGTATAAAAATATTGCTTTACTGGTTCCTTAGGAATTACTAATGGTCCTGAAAATAAACTACACGGTTTCTTTACTTTGGCCTCCATTGTAGGTATTAAATGGCATTTCTGTGATCACAATCATCTTTTTTAGTGAATAAACTTGTCTGACATCTTTCCCCTAAAGGGAAAGAGACTCTACCCATGAGGTTGAATTTCTTTTTCTCCCCAAAGAAGGAAAATTGGACATTCCAAACCACTGCTATTCCTATTTCAGCCCGCCCTTCTTTTCCTTTACTGTGCTCTCTGGTCTGCACTGTGCTGACGAGCTCCCCTCTGGAGGATCCTCCTCGGTGATTTCAAGATGATGACTCCTCCAGGAGTCGAACAAACTGGCAGAAACCCCTAACCAAACAGATGGTAGACTCAGATACCTCTGCAGGGCAGAGCACCTGAGGGATAACGTTGCAGTTTATATATGATTCAGGAGAATCAATTAAAATGCATGTAAGTATATTCACACAAATACTTGTACTTTCACGTAGTCTAAGACTTGAGTTGGTCTAGTAAAACGGAGCTTATTTTCTGCATGGAGACATCTAGCCTCTTAAAATCCATTCTGAACACAAGTTTGAGCACTACCAGCTTGCAATTTACTCCTCAAGAAGAGGCACTTTTTAAGCTTATTGAACCATAAAAAGCTCGCACAGTGTTTTGGGACTAAATTAATTCCTATTAATTAGGAAATGAAATTGGTAAATATCTTTTAAAGGCAAAAAATATTTTTTCCTATTTCAAATAATAAACTATGTTAGGAATTATTAAGACTGTGTTTTCATGTAAGTATAGATAAATCTTACCTCAGTTTCCTCACTCATAAAATGGTGTGGAACAAAATGAGATCAAAAAGACTACTGAGAACAGAATGGACTTTGTGTGGCTAACGGGGACCTAAAATCAAAATGGAGAGAAGGGGCCATGACAGGACCAGGATGCAGTCACTACTCTGTTCTTGGAAAAACGTGGAAAGCACTCTTAAGCTTTTGACTCTGTCAAAGTTCCTGACTTTACAAAACTCCCTAACAGCCACCTGGACCTAACCAATAAAACCGTGACCTGTGCCAACTTATCAGGACTAAGCAGCCTTGCATTACTCATTTGCATAAGTGGCCAGGAGTGGGAACCTGGGTGGGAACTTTTTCTTTCAAAAACAGCCCCGGGCCTTTGTTCTTGTGTGGGGCGCTTTCGGTTTCCCACTAGAAGCAAAGTCTCCCTGGTTTGCAAATTGTATGAGCAATAAAGCTTTCCTAACTAAATTCTTGTATTCCAGAGATTTTTGTTGACATTGGGATAATAATAAAACCTTATTTGTAAGATCGTGAGGGTTAAATGGATTAATACTCTTAGCATTTAGAATAGCGCCAGGCAAAATTTAAGCAGCAATGAATTTTAGTTGTTATTCCTGCTTCTCCTCTTCTGTCTTTTATTGCTATTACTGATTATTAAAGTCTTAAGGAAGTCCATTGTACATACTTTAATTGTTCCACGATTGAAAGTGAAAAGAGCTTGAAAATATGTAGACACAAACACTCACATACACATACATTTAAAATGGTCTGTTTTTAATTGACTGGTAACTGGTGAATTACAGGAGTCATCCTGTGTTTTCATAGATGCTTTTTCTGGAGTATATGTCAATCCCCTGAACTCTATAAGAAGCCAGCTTCACCAGCAGCACCCCATGAAAGAAATAGGTGACACACAGTCCATTCAACAGCTGCAACAGGGCAGCCCAGGGAACAGCCACCTGCCTTCTTCAGTGGCTTCTAAATCAGACAGGGTGCCACTGCTGCTAGAAACACCAGGTTCTCTGGAGTAAACTCAAATTTCCAAAGCCTATTCTCCTTAAAAAGATTCATACATTCACACACTAATCCTCTCTCACACACGCACATTTTCACCCACACAAAATCTCATTTGCATATACTCAAAGAGAGAGAATCGGGGACCTGGGACATCTGTGGACCAGGAGGAGTATCTACTCCACCTGCTCTTCTTCTTCCTTTCTCTTCAGTCATCCTTTCCACTCACCTTCCTCATTATTTTCAAAGCTCTAATTTTATCTTTGGAAGATAATAATCTTAATAATTCTGATAAAAATAATTTTTAGTGTGTGAATATTCATCTTGTTGTGTTGCCTTCTTTATAGGAAAAGTGAGGGAGGGAAGAATAGGTCATGGAGATAGCAACACTTAAACCAAAAATGAAGAACAGAGTTCAGATTCTTCAATGTGGGTAAATATGCTGAGAAAAGAGGAGGAGTGTTTACAAGATCCTTCATTTCAAACCTTCTGTATAACCACCTACTTCTGTCTTATGTAAGAATGCCTTCAAATCCATCGAAAGACTCTAGGGCCAGCCCATGTGTCTGAGATGTGCTACTAAGCTTTCCTGGAGGATGGAGAAACTTCTGGCCCTGATGTGACATGATATTAATCCAAAGACTTAGATTCTGGCAACATACACCTAAACAGAGGTGAGAGCATGCACCATTTACCTAGGTGTCCGTGGCAGGTACATTTAGCCCCCTTTATCCCAGGGAGGCTCCCCTTGCCAATTGGTGCCACAAGTGAAAGCCTCATGATAAGGCACGTGAGCTCAGGGGTCTGAGAGAGTAAGAAACACAAGCCCATGCTCCTTACCACTGCTTTTCTAATCTCGATATAGGCGATCTTAATCCTCGTGATCTGAGAAATTTCCTACGTTTTTCCTCTCATTAGGAGCCTGACAGGCCATGACAACCATTTGCCCTTTGGCAACCTGCTGCAACCTCAACGAGCTATCTGGAACACCTGTAGTGCTTTCTAGAGATCATGTTTTTTTTCAGTTATCCCTACTTTGCCCTATGCAACCCAACAATCAGGTACTCACACAGAGACTTGCCAAAAGGAAATCTAGATAACAGACTCGTCTACATAAACGTGCTAGAAGACCGCCAATCCAAAGAAATTAGATAGATATGGAACGATCTTCCTTGTTCAAACAAAAGCTAAATGTTTTCTTCAATCATTTTTGAACCAATGACTTCCTTGTACCTTTATAATAAATGGTCTCTGGTCTATTTTAAACCATGGCTTTAGGACACGTTGGTTTGGAGTTACCTTCTGGTTCTTGGATGCAATGTTAATCATTGTTCTTGATCTCTTCTTTCATATTACTAAATCTATTGGGTATTCAAAGATCATGGAGTCATCCAGATCAATAAAACTGATCAATGGACATAAAAAAAAAAAGGTTCCTAGATTCTTCCTCTGTCCCTATCTCATGAGTTGACTCAAAGCTTCTTGACATTGTGGCTTTTCTCTTTCATTTTGTTTGGTTAAAGAACTTGCTAAAGGCTTCTCAAGAGGCAATTCTAGTCTTATAGGAGCTTGAACCTGAAAGACTCTTTTGGCTTCATTCTCTGTGTGGTGTTAACCTCATTCTTTTTTATCCTTTTTTACTCATATCCATTTCATCCTTCTCCTGAGAGCTGCTTTTCATCTTTCTTTCTCTCTTTCCTCTTCTGTCCCTGTGTTGGTATGATCATTTTTGTACATCAATGAGTCTTGAGTCATGCTATCAAATGCCACTGGGAGCCCCGTGATTTCCTTTCCTCTCACTTTTAAGGCTACATTCTAGGCTTCCCTACATATTCCTCTGTGAGGTCTTTATGAGACCTGTGCTCGCCTGTGATAGACCTGGTTTAGTATCTACTCCCACGCCGGACCCAGGTTGTGGGACATCTTCCAGTAGGAACTAAAAGAGCACAGGGTGCAAGCAGAGCCTGTGAGACCCTGAAACCTTATTAAGACTCTAAAGGGGGGCAGCACACGCCTGGTGATAGCATAGCCTGCTCCTTTGAGACCCTAAGAAGGGCAGCAGGAAAGGCCAGTTTGCTAATAATTTCCTTGTGATTTCTGAGTCTATTTTCATTAGTGACATTAGCCAGTAATTTTATTTTCTGGAACTATATTTATCTGGTTTGGGTATCAAAATTATACTTGATTTTTAGGATAATTAGAGAATATTCTCTAGTTTTCTAGTGTTTGGATCTGTTTGTACCCATGTGGAATTACTAGGATCTGGAAAAAATTTTAAACTCCTCTCTTTAATTGTCTAAGTCTGATATTTTCTTTGTGAAAATACTTTTAACTACTTGTTCAATTTCTTTAATGATTATAGACTTATTTAAACTTTCTATTTTTTCTTGTCAGTTTTAGTCATTTATATTTTTCTGGGAACTTGTTCATTTCATTTATTTTCAGACAAATGACAGAATGTGTTCCATAATATTTGGGGTAGAGTAATTTCATTAAGAGCCCCAATTTTTCATGCCTCACAGATACCATGGACATGTGACTTGGTTTGTCCAACAGGACAGCAGGTTTGGCCAACTTAAGGCAGGCAGAAGCTTGAAAAAGCACCTGCACATTTCTGCTACCTCTTTGGGATCCTGCTACTGCCACGGAAACATGTCAAGTCCAACCTGTTAGAAAGATGTGGCAGAAATGTGCAGAGAAGCTGACTCTTTCTAGCCTATCAGCCAGACCCTAGCCAACACACCAGCAGATACAGGAGCAAGCCCAGCCCATATCAGCCACGTACAGAACGCATTACCAGAACTGTCCAGTCAACCTGCAGATACATGGGTGGTTTTATATAGCAAAAGAAAATGATAAAATATTCTTGTTTTCATCCTCCGTACATCTGTAAGTATTAAATTATTCATTCTGAATATTACATAGTTGTCTTCTCTTTTTTGCTTGCTCTACCTGAAAATATTTGTTTGTTTTGGTTTATTAGTGTTCTCTATTATATCTTAGTTTTCTCTCTATTTCTTTTCTTTATTTGCAGTGTTCTTTCACTTCCCCTGAATTTATTCTGCTAATTTTTTTTCCAATTTAACTCAAATATCTTTTAGTCATTCTTTTCACTATAAATGTAATTTTAGCGGCATCTCACAGTATTTAATATCTAGCATTTTCATTATGTTAATTTCTAATTATTATTTTAAAACTTCTTCCTTGATTTTTCCCTTGAAGCATGGATTATTTTGGTGTATAATTTAGTTTCCCAGTATATTTTTTAGGTCATTTATTTCTATCTTAAATGCATTTTTATCAGAGAACATACCGTGTGTTATACCAATTTTTTGGAAATTATTGAGGCTTGCTTAATGACCTAAAGTGTGATCAATTTCAGTAAAATTCAGTTCTTCTTGTGAAAAGTGTGTATCCTCTAATTATAGGGAGCAGGGTTCTGTAGATATCAATTACAACTGTTTTTAATTGAGTTTTTAAAATACCCTCTACCTGCATGATCCTGAGCTCAATCAGTCAGACCTAATGACAGCTCCAATTACGATGGTAGTTTTTTCAATTACTTATTGTAGTTATCTCAGTTATTACTTTAAATAATTTGAGGCTATTTTATTTTTAAAAAGTTACTTTCTCCTTTAACTGAAGATACATTATTATGTAGTACACTTTATATTCCTTCTATTGGCTTTTGTTTTAAAGTACGTTTTGCCAGATATAAATACAACTATGTCAAGTTTCTTTTTGTCAGCATTTTCCGCATTTAAAATTGTTTCATTTTTTATCTTCTATCCCTATCTTTCACAATGTCACTTTTTCCGTTATTCTTTCTTGTGTCCCTATATTTTATGTCTTTCATCAATGTCTCTACATAGTTTAAATTGTGAGTTTCATCCAGCGATTATTCATATATTTGGACGTATTTCCATCATTTTACTTCTTACTTTCTCTCTGACCCACTTTTTCTTAATTCTTTAACTTTCTTTCTTTGGATGACTCATTTTTTATTATTATAATTGTTATTATTAATACTTTTATTTTCAAACTATAGATTTAAATTTATAATATGTAAAGTTTTTAATAATGTATAAAGATCAAGATTTTGGAAATTATCAAAACTACAGTTTGGAATTATAACTAAGTGGAATAGTTATTTTAATTATATTTGTGATTTGTTTTTACTCTTTACAGTGCTTATTTAACAGCTCTTTCATCCTCCACTAAAATATAGGTAGATTAGATCACATCATCTCTACTTAATCCCAGTCACTCCATGTTTCAGTTCACGTGAATTGTAGGTCTCTTATTATGCTTGACTTTAATCCCATTACTTGTAATTTAGTAGTACTTTTCAAACTATCAATATTTGTTCCATTTATCATATTTTAACACAATTTTTGCTATTTCTTCTTGCACCTCAGAAGCTGTCTTACTAGAACTTTTATACTTCCTGATGTATATTTTTTCCAATACTATCAAGATATAATTGAGATTATGTAAATTTAAGGTGTGCAACATAATAATCTGATATATGTATATATTGTGAAATGATTACCACCAGTTTAGTTACCACCATCATGTTGCATAGTTACAAGTTTTTTTTTCTTGTGGTGAAAACTTTTAAGATCTACTCTCTTAGCAACTTTCAAATATAAAATGCAGTGTTGTTAACTATAGTCACCACGCTATACATTTCATATCCAGAGCTTATGTATCTTAAAACTGGAAGTTTGTATCTTTTGATCACCTTCATCCAATATACCACCCCCCTACACCCACCTCTGGCAACCATCAATCCGTTTTCTCTAGGAGTTTGGGTTTTTTTAGATTAAATCTAAATCATACAGTATTTATCTTTCTCTGTCTAATTTATCTCATCTAAGGTCCATCCATGATGTCACAAATGGTATGATTTCCTTTATTTTTATGACTGAACAACATTCCATTCGTCTATCAATGTATACTTAGGATATTTCCATGTCTTGGCTATTGTAAATAATGCTACAATAACATGAGAGTACAGATATCCCTATGAGGTCCTGTTTTCATTTCTTTTGTATATATATTCAGAAGTAGAATTGCTGGATCATATTGTAGTTCTATTTTTAATTTTTTGCTGAAAAAACATACTGTTTTCCATAGTGACTACATCAATTTGCATTCCCACCAACAGCACATAACAGTTCCCTTTTCTCCACCTCATTGCCAATGCTTATCTCTTGTCTTTTAAATAATAGCCATTCTAACAGCTGTGAGGTGGTATCTCATTGTGGTTTTGATTTGCATTTCCATGATGTTTAGTGATGTTGAGCACCTTTTCATATACATATTTGCCCTTTGTATGTCTTCTTTAGAAAAAGATCTGTTCAGTTCCTCTCTCCATTTTTTAAACAGATTGTTTAGGGTTTTTTCCTATTGAGTCATATGAGTTCTTTATATATTTAGAATATTAACCCCTTATCAGATACGTGATTTGCAAATGTTTTCTCCCACTAGAAAGGTTGCCTTTTCATTTTGTTGATGCGCAGAAGCTTTTCAGTTGGATGTAGTCCTACTTGTTTATTTTCGCTTCAGTTGCCTTTGCTTTTGGTGTTAAATCCAAAAAATCATTGCCAAGACTGATGTCAAATTGCTTGCTGACTATATTTTCTTCTAGGAGTTTTTCAATTTCAGGTCTCATGTTCAAGCCATTAATCCATTTTGAGTTGATTTTTGTGTAAAGTGTAAAGTAGAGGTCCAGTTTCATTCTTTTACTTGTGAATTTCCAATTTTCCTATCACCATTCATTGAAGATATCTGTTTCCTCTACTGAGCATCCTGCATCTCTTATTAATATTGGTCAACCATACACACTTGGATTTATTTCTGGGCTCTCAATTCACTGGTCAATGTGTGTGTTCTTTTGCTAGTACCATAATGTTTTGATTGCTATAGCTTTGTACTATAGTTTGAAATCAGGAAATGTGATGCCTCCAACTTCGTTCCCTTTCCTCAGGATTGGCAATTCAGGGTCTTTTGTGGTTCCATACAAATTTTAGGATGTTTATTTCTATTTCTATGAAAAGTGCCAAATTTTGATAAAGATTGCACTGAATATATAGATGACTTTGGGTTGGATGGACATTTAAACAATATTAATTATTGCAATCCATAAACGCAGTATATTTTTCCATTTGTGACTTCTTCAATTTTTTTTAAGTCAACATCCTATGAAGTTCAGTGAAGAGATCTTTTACCTCCTTTATAAAATTATTTTATTCCTAAATGTCTTATTGTTTTTGATGCCATTATAAATGATGTATTTTCTTTATTTCATTTCAGATAATGCATTGTTAATGCATAGAAATAATACTGACTTTTGTACATTGATTTTGTATCCTGCATTTTTACTGAATTCATCGATTAGATCTGAGAGTATTTTGGTGGACTATTTAGGATTTTCTACATATAAAATACTGTCACCTGAAAATATAGACAATTTCACCTCTTCCTTTTTAATTTTGTTGCCCTTTGCTTCTTTTTCTAGCCTGATTGCTCTTGCTAGAACTTAAAGCTCTAGATTGAATTGCAGTGGTTAGAATGGGCACATTTGTCTTGTTTCTTCTTTCTCCTTTCTTCTCCTGGGATTCCTATACTGCATATATTCCCTTCCTTGCTTCCTTCTTTCCGTCCTTCCTTCCTTCCTTCGTTCCATCCTTCCGTCCTTCCTTCCTTTCTTTCTGTTTTGTGGAGTCCAAAAGTCCAATAGACTCTTCATTCTTTCGCTCTTTTTTCTTTTTGTTCTGACTGGATAATTTCAAATGACCTATCTTTAAGTTCACTAGTTACTTCTTCTATTTGGTCAAGTCAGTTGCTGTTGAATTTTTCAGACCTTTCATTGTATTGTTCACCTACATGATTTCTATTTGGGGTTTTTTTGACATTTATTTCTTTTATCTCAGCTCTTTGGAGCATTACTCCATTATTTTTTTCTCCATTATTATTATTAATAAATATGTAGTCGTTTAATTTTAATTCCTGTTATTTAGCTAAAATTTCTCTCCAGCAACTTTTAAGTTCTTTGTGTTTAGTGTTCTGCTATTTTTCTTCAAAATGTCCAAATCTTGATGTTCTTTTATTACTCCTGCCTGGTTTAAGCTCTTATGTAGAAATATTTTTGTCTTTCATATATTTCTTGCACATTTTCTGCATTCTCTTCTTTGGAAACTCCAATTTGACTTATATTATATATTCTTACCATATATTTATGTGTCTAAATGTCAATTGCATTTTCTAATTCTG